GAGAGAGAGAGAGAGAGAGAGAGAGAGAGAGAGAGAGAGAGAGAGAGAGAGAGAGAGAGAGAGAGACACACCGGCAAACAGGTAAGTCTCTGACCCCGCGCTTGGCTGGTGCGTTGCTCATTCTCTCTCTCTCTCTCTCTCTCTCGGCTAGCCACGTGGCCGGCCATTTTTTTTTTTTTTTTCATAGGAGATGGCTATGGCGGGATCTTTGTCACGTTGTTTGGCGGAGGAGGAGCGGGAGGAGCAGGAGGAGCGGCAGGAGCGGGAGGAGGGATGGGAAAAGGAGCGGGAAAAGGAGGAGTGGGAGGAGGGGTGGGAGCAGGTGCGGGAGAAGGAGCGGGAGGGGAAATGCGAAGGGGCGGAGGAGCCGCGGGAGGAGGAGCTGGAGAAGGAGGAGCGGCAGGGGAAACGGGGAGGGGGTTAGGAGCGGGAGAAGGAGCACAAGGAGAAACGGGAAGGGGCGGAGGAGGCGCGGGAGGAGGGGCAGTAGAAGGAGCGGGAGGAGGAGCGGGAGGGGAAATGGGAAGGGGGTTAACGAACACACGGGAGGCGGAGGAGGGGGACGAGATATACGTGGAGGAGGAGAAGCGAGAGGAGCACGAGGACGAGGGGGAGAAGGAGCGGGAGGAGGAACGGGGGAAAGAGCAGGGGAAGCAGCGGGAGAAGGAGAAGTAGGAGAAGGGAGAGCGGGAGAAGGAGAAGGAGGAGGAGAGGGAGGAGCAACAGGAGAACGAGCGGGAGTGGGGCTATGGCAGGATCTTTGTCACGTTGTTTGGCGGAGGAGGAGCGGGAGGGGGAGGAAGAGGAGGAGGAGGGGGAGTGGGAGGAGCGGGAGAAGGAGCGGGAGGAGGTGTGGGAGAAGGAGCGGGGAAGGAGCGGGAGCGGGGCTACGGCGCGGGAAGAGGAGCGGGAGGAGGGGGAGGAGGAACGGGGGGGAAAGCAGGAGAAGCAGGACGAGCAGCAGGACAAGCGGGAGGAGCAGCAAGAGAGGGAGCGGGAGAAGGAGAGGGAGGAGGAGCAGGAGAAAGAGTGGGAGGGGGGCTATGGTGGGATCTTTGTCACGTTATTTGGCGGAGGAGGAGCGAGAGGAGGAGGAGGAGTGGGAGGAGCGGGAGGAGGAGTGGGATTCGGGATGGGTTTGCATCTCACAAGCCCTTGCTCCATACTCTCCTCCTCATTTTGCACATTCGAAGGCTGCTCAGTTCATGCACACATGAAACTGTTGAAGCGGCCCTGCCTGGGTGCGTGCGCGTGTGTGTGTGTGTGTGTCACACACACACAGACACACACACACACACACACACACA